CTGAGGCTCTTGTTTGCTTTGCTTTCTACAAAGTGCACACAAAATTTCCAAAGTTCATATAAAGATTTCCAATTAATCCTCCCCTCATATATATTTGAGGGCAGAATATATATAATCCATCTTTGTATCCCCAGTGGTTAGAACAGTGCCTGGTTTATAAACACTAACTTGTGAATAAGTAGATGACTTGCTCAAGTCTTAAGGTATTGGTTCTTCAAGACCCTCCCTTGTCAGAAAAAATAACAATAAATTATGACAACACAATCGTGAAAGAATTACAATAGCTGTTATCAACAAAATGCAATGGAAACACAAAGGCAGAACTAATTTTGTCAAGGGTATATGGGACAGCTTGATGGGAGAATTGGTTAAAAACAGTAATAATAGGGAAAAATGAAGGGGGGGAATCGGAGGGGGAGACGAACCATGAGAGACTATGGACTCCGAGAAACACTAATAAAGGGGATACAAATGAAATCCAAATTAAGAAATTTCTCAGGAAGAAGGAAAAGCATTTGGTGGGCATTTAGATTTTGATGGAGGCAGAGTAGTGGTGTATGGCAGTCCATAGTTTTGGAGCCCCCAAACTGTCAAGGTCAGTCAAGGTAAGAGGTACATGGTGCAGAGCACAGGAAAATTCAAAGCATGAAGCTTCCAGGTGTCCTGTCCAGTGGAATCATGGGCAAGGACAACTTTTCCCTGCAACAATGTGTGACCATATGCATAGGAATACTGACGAGTAGGAAGGCTCAACAAAAGCTTGGCATCTAGATTTTATTGGGGCCCCATCACACAAACATGATCAACTGGCTAATCTTAATTCTCCAGCTCCTTTACAGGTCAGAGGTGGGAAGCCAAGCTAATACCATGACCCACAGCCCCGACCACAAATCACACTGTTAAGACTTTCCAGTGTGGCCCAATGCCCCAGGTAAACAAAGTCACTCTTAGGCAGGACATTCCAAGGGCTGAGAGATAACCTCCCAGGAGCTGAGGGTAAATGTCAGACTTATTTTTTATTAAGTTTCATTCTTTACCTTGAAGGTGTGGAGGAGAAAAGAGGAAACATACTGATGGTGATATCTTCAACAAGTGAGAAAAAACATGCAAGTGGCAAATGATAACACAGGTTTAGAAGGGAAAAATAGCATGCTTCTGAGACTGCCTAGTACCAAACTAAGTGAAGTTACCAGAAAATACTGAGAAGAATGTAACAAAGCTTAGAGGGGACTGCACAGCTTGAGATGGCAGCATAGTGAGGGAAGTTCAAAGTCATGTCATGAATGGGCTTACCTGAAAGATAATGTAGGTAATGAGCAGTGCAAAACTTGAACCCACTGTAAACAACTTTAAAGGCCTGCTCAGAGGGTAACTTTTAAAAAAGGTTATTACAAAACAATAAAATTTAAATAAATACTAAATCTTCCCCACTATCTAAATCTCTTAGATAAGACAGGAAACTAAAAATAAGTAAATCCCTTTCTAGGTAGAAGACAACAATGCACTCACCTTTCCCTGGAAGTAAACAGACTCCACAAGCATGACATTATGTCTTCCAAATAAAAGTTAAATACATATATATATATATGTTCTTACTTCCCCATGCCATCTTCCATGCTCAGACTACTTTCTAATCTCAGCCTTTATTTTGCCCATGGCAAATTTAGCACATTTATGCAAAACTTAAATTACCATGAAAACCCAACAAAAAGGTAGATGAAGCAGAAGGCACAGCTAATTAAATGGATTTGAGGTTCACTGCTCATTTTGTTTAGGGTCAAACAATAATTTACAAATCTGTCTGAGCACATTAAATAGAAAAATAACTCATTACAGGGTATGGGTAGCCAGACTACTATAAAATCTGAAGACAATATACCTTTTAAAACCTTTTTTTTTTTTTTTTAAAGTTATCCATGAATGTCTAATTACACCACAGGTGTGAGATTAGGGGTTAGCAGTGGAAATTCTTTTTTTTTTTTTTTT